TTAGGCAGAATTTCAGGAAGCTGCACTCCATCAGTGATCATCTCAAACAGGTCTCCTGCCACTCACAGTCGCATAGAAACCATGACGAAATTATTTCTGATGAGGATCACCTCCAAATTTCTAGTGAAGAATCGTTTTGGCATTGTCGCCTAATATCATTCAGAGGGGAGAGCGGTTCGGTGGAGTCAACGGCTATTCGCTTGAGACACAATGGGTTACCCTCACTTCTGAGTGTTTGAGAACTGCTCATACTCTCAGTTGCTGTCTCTCTAGAAAGTTCTCCTCGCTTTCGGTCAGACAATAAAAGGGAAACTTTTGAGTAAGCCCGATTTCAGAGAAATCCATGTCTTCAATGATGGTGACAAGAGGGAAAGGGTTGCCATCATCGACTTTATTGGCTTTTCATGAATAAATAAGTTAGGACACAGAAAAATCAAATATATCTGTAGAGGTAGGTTATCTCTGACTGTTGATAAAGGTTGTAGTTGATGACTGGAGTCGGATTCAGATTGCTGGTGATCACTTGCTTCAGCTGACCTGCACAGCATGACCTGGAATAAGCTACTAAAGCAAGGCACTTGAGAGGCTTTCCAACTGTTTGGCGCTTACCATCAGGACTCGTCAATCGCTTATTTTTCTATTCTCTTTCTACTATTGTGAATCCGAGAGTCCTTCGAAGGTGAGCACCGGTTACAAATATGATAGCGAACATAGGAGTTACCTCGGATTTGTTATAGCCTTAGCAGCTAGAGTCTTGAATTCAATTCCTTGTGTCCAGCATCCATTGAGACAAATCACATTTTTCATTACTGTCACTTGAACTTGTACCTTTTTCCCGGCCGGTGCCTCAAATCAAGCAATTCAGGCATGGGACGGTTGCCGTCTTGGACAAAATGCTTCAATCAACCGACTTTGATCCAGTCATTACACAACGCGTAAGTGTCGCGAAGATTGGGGTTCGTGGCATTACCCAAAATGACCTTCTTCGATTTCCAAGTTGCAGCTGCTGTCAGCACTGCTCCACATCCAGCCGGCTGAAATCACTGGAAGATCCCTCGCTCGCTTGCTTCTATTTGGTTTGGCTTTTCATGCAAGTGGAACGAATTTTATAAATGAAAATTGCTCACGCGAAGGCTACACAGCGCGCCACCGTAACCAGCCGGGCAAATGCAGGCATTACAGTTCTTCGGGTTCCGTTTTCCTCCGTTCACACATGCGGCTCCTTTGGTTGCACAAAGAGCTGAAATATTCAAAAAAAGTGACGTGTTTGTTTCCGATATGAATTTGATCGTAAATAAAGGCTTCTACAAGCTTGTAGAAAGGCAAAAGGCAAAAAGGAGAAGTTCCCATGCAGAGAGAAGAGCAAGTTTGGAACCTACTGTGACAATCCAAACTCTGAACTAATGTTAACTGACCATTGCACTTGTAATGAAAATTGATCATGCTTATGTCGTGGAACGAAATCATTTGCGATCCCATTGTACGGAGGTATTTGGCGTTCTTGGGCTTCATTGAATTCCCAGTTGTAGCGAATCTGGTAGAAAAATAAATAAATACAACGGTGCTTTGCTCCTCTTCACGACTTCATCAACAAATATTATTGCATGAAGGAAAACACCTTCGAAGGTTACTTGTAAACGATCACTCACGATTGAGCATCATAGTGCATAACACTGCCATATTCATAGGGAGTGTAATTGACTGATTCTGCCGCGGTCAGCTTGTTATAGTTGTGTTTGCTTGCTTCCTGAATAAAAGCGATTTGGATAGTTGCGATGTTTCCTCCCGAATACTTGATGGCTCGAGTGGGTTTTCTAAGTAGTAAACTGAAAAGCAAGGGTTCCAGGACAAAGGGAGAAATGCTTACTTCAGTTAGTTTCCGTTTTACAAAAAGGCACACACTCAACCTTCAATCTGAAACTGTTTCCATCACTGGTTTCTGCAAAACGATCCTCTACTTCACCCTTCTCTGGCTTCTTGCTACGGCCCAAAACCGCTACACAAGTCCTACACAAAGCTCCTTTCTCCCTGATTTGAGTCCAATTACTGGGCCCCTCTAAGATTGTAGTGAAAGGATGCAAGGTCCTGCTTTTCTAGATTACATTCAATATTAGTTTGAATTCGAGAGTTACCGGCACATTGATTAAGTCGAGTGTGATGAAAGAATCGCGGTCGTGGCGACTTTGCATGTGAAATATTCCAAGGGCGTGCATGAACTCGTGGGCAACAATTCCCATCTGCAATACATTGCGAACATAATTCACTGACATTGAAATAGAATAAAGAATAAAATCTCTCGGCGTTGATCAATCTGAAGCATGCCCCCACGCATTTGGCTTCCATTCAGAATCATAGTGGCGTGATGGACGCTCCAGACGAGTCTAATACCAATTAACCGACCCTGGAGGGATGGAAGACTTGAATAGCCCAGACGGATATTTATTCGGGGTTCAAACCCGTGACAATGCGTGTATGAGAAGGCTCCATTTGTCTTTATATATAGCACATTAGCCCACTAGCATAAGAAATATATTAAAAAGAGAACCAAGAAAAACTTCGTGACAAAAGCGGGCAATCCCTACACTCCATCCATTTATGGGGGAATTACCTTCAAAGAAGATGACCTGAAGTCACCCAAAATTGCTTGGTTTAGACTCAGATCTACAGCTTAGGAGAAAAAAACATTGGATCGAAAAAGGGAGCCAGGTGGGGAGCTCATCCCCGATCTTTTGTGTTGCAGGGTATGTTCTATGCACTTTTATACAAGCTGCCTTGGGGAACTGACCGTGTTGCAGCCATCGGCTAGCGACAAATCTTGTACGCCTCCAATCATTCCGACATACGAGTAACAGCCATCCCCTCTAAACACTCGAACGCGATTTGTAGCGGTTGCGTTCTCCACGAAGGTGAGGCATGTACGAGCAGTGAGATATGCAAGGGTTTTTCTGACTAGAGCCCTCATCGGCTCTCCTAAAAAGAAATAAAGGATTTGGCCCCATCAGGCAAAGTTGTCATTCGGAAGTATGATGCTACCGCATACCCAAGCTTGCATCAAAGTAATAGAAGACTTTTTTGTTCGCCCACAGAGGATAAACCTTGGAAGCCTGACGTTTTTGACGAGTTGTGCCGTTGTTCAGTCTCGATTCAAGGACAGCAAGTTGTTCTCTGCAATTTAATGAAGAACTGGTTTCAGTTGTGTGAGGCGGATTTTGTGCGCTGGGTGGGAATTGTATGGGTGCTTCACCTAGCTCAAGACAGCTGACAAGAGAGCTTTCTCAAACTTACTCGGTAAGATTGATATCGCCCTCATACAAGTAGTCGCTGATCCCTGCTAGGCGATTTTTATCAACGATCGAGCCACCCTCAGGGAGAGACGTCATGTCCGTCTCAGTTGCTTTCTAAACAAATTAGTTGTATTGTTACATGACAATGAAATGATTCAAAAGTGAAAAGCATTCGAACATCTTCTTCGGTATCATTTGACGCTCCTGCTGGTGAACTGACCACATCTACGAGTTGCAGGTTACTCAGCCTCTCACGACGTTGCTCGGGATCGACTCCTCGAAGTGTCTGAATAATCTCATGATGGCAACTGTCTAGGGTTTGCAAAGCTCTACCTGTGCCAGAGAAGCTCTTCCACTATCCGTGAGAGCGAAACCGCTTCCGAAAAGCAGCATGAGCAAGGGGACCAATGCTACACACAGGCTATTCTTTGAGTACATTTCCTGCAAGAATTTCTAAATTTTTTTTGAGAAAAAATAAGGCGAAAAAAGGGAAGGGGCACATTAGAGTACGTCAGCGCTTGGAGTTGTTGGATGGTACTATTTTATCACTCTTATATACAGCACCGTTCAGGCCGATCTATTGAAATTGACAAATTAATATTCAGGCTTATCACAACCTTTCACCGGGCCGTAGTCCTTTTTCAATGCGGCTCAGTGTATTTCGAACGTTACCAATAGAATGTTCAGTTCCGTGTGCATAAGTCACCAGTGGGATTAGCAGCTTAGCGTTTTTCGTCCTGCAGAAAGAACAACGGATGGACCAAAGACTGTGCCTGGGCGCTTTGTGACGCTTCGTAACACCCATAACACAGAACAGCAACTTCCCGAAGGAACGCTTGCTTCAATTTTGACCCACGGACCTCTAATAATCGCTTAATTTTTTCATCTTGCTTCCATATATGTACAGGGTGGGCCAAAATTATGATTACACAGAAATCACATCGCAGAAAACGGATATAAAGCCAATAGAGCAGACCAATTTCATTAAAGGGCTTAGCACAAATTTCTTATCAAAATTGTACATTGAGACTGGGATCTGTTGCTTTCTGCTTTCACCCAACCCCAAAGACGACGATGGACGGCATTGACGGTGGCACGCAGCTAGGGTCATCGAAATGGTACCGGCTTTTTGCTGAGCATTTTCGAGAAAACTTCTTCTCTTGTTTGGGCTAAAGGTTGCTTTCATCTTAGAGGCTGACCACATTGAGACATTCATGGGATTTAGGTCAGGGCTACAGAGTGGTCACTGATCGAAGGTTATGAAGTCAAAAAACCACTTTCACGAAACTTCTCGACAATTTCTGATCTGCGGCCGGGAGCTTCATCTTGACAATATGTCCTATTTGAATCGCAAAAGTGTTCTATTGCGCATGAAGAGAACAAACAGGCCTCCAAACCAACTTCCACTCCATAATTTACAAGATTAATAGGTGTCTTCGCCCCGGCGGTGATGCTGGTACAGGCCATCACAGAAAGTTAGTGAGCCAGGCGCTGTATCACTTTCATTTCTTTAAGCTTCATATAAATGTTATCGCTCTACTTATTGAGCATCTATTTCACTGTGAATCTTTTCTCGTCGGTGAGCAGGAATTCCGTAGGACAATTTTTTCGGATGCTACAGGCAGCTTTTGTTAGCCAACCTTTCCCTTCTCTTTAACCTGCTCTTTGGGGAAATCAGTTTCTGATCGTATAACGGTCTCGTTGTGCAGGAGATGCTTCACGATTTCATGCAGAAAATTTCGTGACATATCCATTCATTTATCCTTTTTGGACTCAGAATGAATTTTGCTCCTGTGTAGACCTTTGCCCTGCTTTCTTGACACTTCCCCTAAATATAACCACAGCTCTCCTAGATTCACCACTCCTATCTGTAATCGTTCCCAACTCTCGAGAGCGTCTTATGGTTAAATGCAATACGTGCCTTGTTTCGCTAGTTCGTCTGTAGATGCACCGTGCCAAAAGTGTTTGTAAATGCAAAGCTACGTTTAATTCACGGACTAGTTACGCTTATATTATGCTAAAAATCTACCCAACATTAGTATCATTAGAAAGGTAATAACGTAAGGTACTTTGTGAAATGGAAGAAATTCAATGAATTGTCATGAACATAGAAAAAATTTGCAACGAACGTCAGCGCGCGCTGTAATCATAATTTTGGCCCACCCTGTACATTCAAATTGTTTGAGTAAAGGCGATTTGCGCGTTCGGCTATCCTTACATCCTGCTTCTCGACTTTCTGTAACAGAACAGCTTAGTGTTAGTGGTCAGTGATATTGTTTGTCGGCGGAACTAGTATAAAAAGTGAACAAAATTAAGCCGGCATTGATCAAATCGGTGGTTATGTGTTGAGCCACACAAACCGGTGGAAGTTCTGAGAGCTCTGGATAAGTCTGGCCTGTATGTCAAGACTTTCTCTACCCCTTCGCTAAGCTTAAAGTGGCCCTTCAGCTCGCCATAAACTATAACTGAATAAAAAGTGTAAAGGATAAAGTCTTCGAAGCGTTTATCAATCCGTGAAATTGCGGGATGCGCCCATGCATTCGACTTTCCCTCAGAATCGTAGAATCGTATTGAATGCGTATGTGGCTTATGCAATGACTTGCGGTGGCCAGCCGATGTACAAGTCTCTGTTTTTATCCTCCCAAACGAGTCTGTTACTAATTAACCGGCTCTGAACGGATGAAGGTCTCGGTTGGCTTGAGCGAATATCGATCTGGAATTTGAACCAGGCACTATCGGTGCGTGTTGGTGCTCTACTTGCCACTACACCACCTCCACCCCATTCCTCATTGATGGATGGCAGAGAAAATTTTATATCAGGCTAGCATAAGTTGGATGTAAATTTGAACTAATTTCGGCATGCCAATGTGTCCAGTTCAGTAATATAATGCCTTTACGTGGGTGATATCAGATTTTTTGGATTCAGAAAAACCGTCTATCTTGTTTCCTCGGTATCATACCCATCTTTCGCTCACGTGCTGGTACCACTGGTGCAAAATAGTGGAGAAAAGCGCACGAAAACCGGTGGATTGAAAAAAAGTATAACACTCGAAAAGTAGCAAACAATGGGGTTGTACGAGATGGCCGTCTGGGTGTCTCTCAATTGAGCGTAATATTCGCCTCGCCCTGTGAATAGTGCAGCAATAATAAAGGATGGCCTAACACGGCCACTTTGAGCGTGTGTGTGTTGGCCATACCGGTATTGAAGCCCTAACTACACCCTGTCTAGGCCTTTCTTCGGCTCGACAACAGTACTATTCTTGGGGACCACAGATTCATCATACCTCAGAAATGATTTTTATTTTCTCAATCCCATCGGTGATCATCTCAGTTCTGGACTTCTTCTGCCGCTCACAGTCGCATCGGAACAGCGATGAACTCATTTCTCATAAATATCATCTCTGATTTTTGAGTAAAGAATTGTTCGGTATTGTGGCCTGATATCAGTCAGCGCTCAAGAAGAGAGCGTCCTGGGTGGAGTCAATGGATATCCACGTGAGGCATAATGGGTACCAACTGCGCTAGCCTCATTTTTGAGTTTTTGTGATCTGTTCATACTCACAGTTGCTGTCTCTACAGAAAAATTCCCATCGCTTCCATGTAAACAGTGACAGGAAGCTTCTGAGTAAGCCCGATTCCAGAGAAATTCATGCCTCCAGTGTTGGTGACAAAAAGAGAAAAGGGTGCCATCATCAACTTTATTCGCTTTTCATAAATAAATAAGTTAGAACACAGAAAAATCAAATATATCTGTAGTTGTAAGTGACTTCCGTCTGTTGATAGGCGTTGTAGTTGATGACTGGGGTCGGGTTCAAAGTGCTGGTGACCACTTGCTTCAGTTGACCTGCACAGCATGACCTGTAATGAACTATTAAAGAAGCTATTAGAGTTAGAAAGTTTTTAAGAAGTTTCAAGTTTACGGCGCATACCACCAAAACTCGTCCTAGCTTATTTTCCTGGTCTCTTCCTACTATACGGGTGAGCTCAGGCGTGTTTTGAGTGTGGGTTCTGGCTACAAATATGAAAACAAAGCTAAGTGTTACCTCGGATTCGTAATGAGTTTACTGGCTAGGGTTTTGAATTCAATTCCTTGTGCATAGCATCCATTGATACAAACCACTCCTTTCAATACTGTCACTTGAACTTGTACTTTCTTCCCCGCTGGTGCCTTAAATCAAGCAGTTTCGCCGTTGGACGATTGCCTTTTAAGACAAAATCAATCAGTCAACCAACTTTAATCCAGTCATTACACATCGCGTAAGTATCCCTGAGATAAGGGTTCGTAGCATTTCCAAGAACAACCTTTTTTGCTTTCCAAGCTGCAGTTGCTGTCAGCACTGCTCCACATCCGGCCGGCTGAAATCGCACTATCATTGATAGACATCCTTACCTGCCCCACTCGTGCGTATTCTTACAAACACGAAAAACTATATTCCAGTAATGAAAGCTGCTTACGCGGAGGCTACACGTCGCGCCACCGTAACCAGCCGGACAAATGCAGGCATTACAGTTTTTCGGATTCCGTTT